TACTCCTGCTAGTCTGAAGGCTCTGGTCTCCATCCTGAACTGTCTCCCCAGGCAAACTAAATGGTAAGTTTGGAGGAGAGGTGTGTGGCTTTGCCCCAGTATGTGTACAGTATTTAGTTAAATTTAGGTTAATTGAGGGCCAAAGTGATTTCTACAATAGTCAAGAGGAGTTATATTTTCCCCTGTCCAAAACTTGAGGAAGAGCAGTGGTTCGGAATGGAGCTCCATTTGTAGACCTTGAGGAATTAAGAGCATCTCGACCTGCAGCATCAGAGGGGTTCCAGGAAGCCCCAAGAAAGCAAAGTCCTAGATGAATCTGCAGGGGATTTTTTTTTTAAAGATTTATTTATTCATACAGAACTGGGGTACAGGCCAGAGATGCAAGGGGTGAGAGGATTCACCAGAGACAGAGCGGGGTACAGAACAGTCAGATCGACGAAGTACACTGCTGAGAGGAGCAGCGGGCGGGCCAGGAGAGGTCTGCCTCGCCATGTGGATCACCTCCGGGGTAGGTGGGGATCGAACCCATGCGGAAGTGGCTTAAGCTTCTTTGTGCTGTGCTTTAACCCGCTGCGCCACCAGGGAGGGCCCAAGCAGGGGATTTTAAGGCACTTTCACATTAAGATGACACTCCTGTTTTGGCTTTTCTGCCCTGAACACAAATATCATGTTTTTGCAGTTAAATTTATTAATAAAGTCTATGCTTATTCATAACTAACATACAGCTAGGTCCCTCTATGGAACATCCTGGAATTCCTATTTTCTCTCCCATTCCCTTTGCTACTAGGGTTTTTTTTGTCCTGTCCTGTAGTCCTGCTTTTAATTCATCAGTATGTGAGGGGACAATGAAGAGAAAGGCAATGTTTTCTAACAAGGGGAAGGAAACTACACACCTGCCCACCAGATGTAGAGAGATTTTATAAAAGGTAACAACATATGAAACAAATTTTCCCCCAAATTACAATTCTCAGAGAAAGAAGGCTAGGGAAATAAATTTACAGAGAATAGTGGCAGATGGGATAGACGGATTCAATTAAGGCAAAGAACATCAAACAATTCCAGGGATGCCTCATTTTAATGAAACATGTCATTTTCTCCTCGTTACCTCCAGGTAACTCCTAAAAGCAGTCTAGGTAGAAGAAAGGTGCGCACACAGAGCCTGGACCCCAGCAGGAGTTTAATATCCTCAAACGAGAGAACTAATATTCCCTCTTCTCATCTTTTCAATAACATGGTGAAACTGCACACGAATCATACTGAGTGGATGCAGGCTATGTATTAGATGCACATTTCTACCAAACCGGGTGTTATCCAAACGAAAGATGAAATTTTCCATTGTCATATCTGTTGAGCTGGTTTCTTTATTTGGTGCATGGAAGAGTCTTATTTTTAATTAAACCAAATGCTATCATTTTTCTAAGAAAGATAATATAATAATAAAAATATCTGCCTCTCTTCTCTTCCTAAACAATCATGAGGGAAAGAAGGTGGTATACTTTTGCTATATAGTTTTTATCACATAAACATTATACTAACATGTTTTAAATGGATATTTTGCAGGGCAGTTTATTCCTATTAAGAATGTGTAAGATTCTTGTTGTCACTATTTAATACCAAAAAGAATTCAAGTCTGCAATAAATTTGCTGTAAACACAGCTGATATATAAGTATAGATGTGTACACATGAGAATATACATGCACCATGATGACCCAAATATGACTTCCAGCTGACCTCAATTTTCATCTAAAGTTCAAGTGTTTAAGTCTAGTAGTTTGATGAGCAACACTTTCTTCATTCTCTGGCTCCCCACAGTGCAACTTAATTGACAGCCACGTTATCCATACTTAAGAAATCATGGGTGGATTCCAGTTTCACAAACTTAGTATTTATCTCTACAGTCAGTGGACAAACTGTGGAACATTTAGAGTAGAAACATGGCAATTATACACAACTCCCCCTGTAATAATGTATATGTGTTGTGATTATCAGTTAACAAAGGCAATGTAGCCACAGACTTAGTTTGCAAAGACCTTAAATCACATTGAGATTCCTGTCCACACTTTACTACATTATAAAGTAAAATGCTCCCAGCTAGAAGAGAATAAATTGGCTTTCACACCAACTTCGGGGTGCTCGGCAGAAATAACCACTACTGGAGAGTCTCAGCTGGGGGAGTAAGCTAAGGTTAAAATACCAAATCACTGCCTTGCTTCTCTGCAGCTCAGGTACCCTACTTCTGATAAGCCACTTTTGATATCTGTGAGTGGTTTAAAGGGCTCCTGGAAGAGAAGGAAGAATTTTCTGGGGGTTCCTTCATTTCTGTACTTCCACACACATGGGGGGGGCAGGGTTGGAAAAGTCACCAGTGAAGCATCATCATGATCAGTTAAGATGCTGTTGGAGAATTTTTTCCACAAAGTAGTGATTGAGTTCAAAAAGCAAAAACTTCAGTACCAAAAAGATGAAGATAAATGGCAAAACTAAGAATGTAGGGGATGCTAATGAAAACTAGTCCCACAAAGTGGGCAAAAAAATTCTGGGCAAGAAGATACACAATTCACAAGAGGCTCAAAAGAGTGAAGGAATGTTGCTCAGGCTTCTTACTTTTTATTTATTTTTTTTACTAAATTTTGTTTTATTTTCTAATCACTTAACACCAAAACCATTCTGAATTCATTATGTGTTGCTATGTGACAAGTTCCCCAAAACGTCACACTCTAGAATGACAAGCACTAATTATCTCACAATGCATAAGGACACAGGCACATACCCAGGTGCCTGTCTGGAGGGCTCTCACGTGTGTGGGCTGTGTGCTCAGCACAAGGCTGCACTAGAGGAGAAGAAGCTTCTGAGCCCACTCAAGTGGCTGCTGACAGGACCCAGCACCGGACAGGCTACTGGACTAAGTACCTCGCTGACTCTTAGACTCCCTCAAGTCCATGCCTCTCCAGAGAGCAGCTCACAGCTGGCAGTAGGTATCCTTCCTCAAGCCAGTGTGAGCAAGACAGATGCTGCAGTCTTTTTGTAATATCTGAAGGGATATCCCATCACTTTTGCCATATTGTATTTATTAGAAGCACATGTTAGGTGCAATCCATACTGAATGGGAAGGATCACACAGGCACAAAGACCAGGATGTGAAATCACTCCGAGTTATGGTAGAGGTTGCCAACCACATCTTCCTTTGAATAAAGGAAGAGGAATAAATAGAGGAATAAACACCAAAGAAGAAGGAAAATGGAAGAACAGATGAATGAGACAATGTTCCAGGATCTAACTGCTTGTACTTCTGGGTATACTCTCTCCCAAGTCCCCACCCCCCTAACCTCCCTATTCTCACCTTCCACTCACAAGGCAGTCATGCAATGTATGCTTTGCTGAGGTAGGTGCTTTCTTCATGGTCTTCCATACCTGTCCTCTTTGCCACCTGCCTGAGACCACCAAAGTTGAGACCCTCACTTCTTCACACCGTGACTACTGTGGTACTTTCTTGCCAAACAGTTTCCATATTACACTATGACCTAGACACCAAGACCAGGGTAATCTTTCTACATCACACTTTCTATGTACCTTGAAGTTACAGAAATCCTCTCAGTAGCTCCCCATTGTCAAACAAAATTCAGATCTTTTAGGCTGTCATTCAGTGCCTTTTTTAATTTGACTCAAGCCTGGCTATACAAACTCATCACCCCACGCCCCAATATTAACACAGCACCCAGGTAAGCCACACTCAACGCCAACATAGTATGCAACGCTCAGCTTGCAGACTGCTAATAGTCCCCTTCTGCAAGACTAGGGTTCACCTTACTGTTATCAATCTTTTCCAATTTTCAAGACTCAGGGAAGATCCCATTTTTTGTGGCCTATTTTCTGATCACTCCAAACTAGATGAACAGGCACAGCTCTGAGACTACACCATTCACTATCCCAGCCAGTTATTATGTATATGTCATTTACTCAAGGAACTATTTCATACCCTCTTTTTTCACAGAGAACACCAGACTGTTTTCCAAGAGAGCTGCTCTGGCTCTAATTTTTCTTCTCTGCTGAGAGCAACCAATCCATCACAGGCAATAACTGTTGAAAAGATGGATGAAGGGATAGACGGATGGACAGATAGACCAACAGACATACAAACGGATGGATGGTGATGGATGGAAAAGTAAATCACAGTGTCTGGCATATCATAAAAGGTCAATACATAAATACTTGTTAACCCCATCCCTCCTTAAAATGAGAGTTCTTCACCCAGTGAAGTCTGAAGTCACTTTGTGGTTCCAAAAAAGAGCAAGGCAAAAGAAATTTATCTTGGATGTGACCAAGTAAAGTTCATTCACACAATCATCACAACTAACGACCAAACTGCAACTCCTTTCTCACCCACTGTAATCCTGGCATGAACAGAGCTCAGGACAGAGCAACCTCAAATTGGTGCTTTTATGTCATGGGCCAGAAACAAAAGTGATAAGATCGGGGAAAACAGAGAAAATATATTAATTGTTGGGGTGTGTCCATATACTTCAGATAGTTACTAGTAAAGAGGAGTGTGCGTGTAGGTGTGCGCGCGTGAAAGAGAGAGAGAGTACTTTTTCAGGCATTTGTTGCCTAGCCTGTGCAAGGAGAGAGGAATCTCAAAGCATCAACACCCCAAATCCAGAGGAAAGCTAACGCTTCCTTTCTAGCTGACTAGAGCAGTTAAGCCTGAAATGAACTCTCCTGGCTGGAGAATCCAAATTCCTGGCTGGAGGTGGCCCGCGCTAGACTCGCCACCTTCCTCTCTCACCCCCGCGAGCGCAGGAAACTGTCCCCGGGACGGGGCCTCACTGGCTTCACCCCCGAAACGGGGAAATTCGCCCCCCCGCCTTTGGTACCCTCGGGCTCTCTGAGGGCCGGAGACAGGCATCTTGCAGAGCATCCGGGGCCCCGGGGCCCCTAGTTTTGAAGTCGGCGCGTCCCGCAGCCTGAGGTGGGAAAGCAACTCCGCGCGCCCCAAACTCACCTGCAAGGCGCCAGGTCGACGCAGCCGCGGCCCCAGTTCCCAGAGCCTCCTTCTGGATGCTCCAGGGTCCGGGGACTAGCGTCAGGAGAGAAGTGAAGGGTGTGGCGGCCGGGACAGCGGGGCGCCAGGTCCCCTCCCTGCGTGGAGGGGTCGTAGGGAGGAGCGAGCCCATCTGCCCCGCTCCACGGTGCTGAGCCGCGGAGCCTCCCGTGGGGGCGCCTCCGCGCGGGCGACGGGGACCGGGCGAGGGAGCCACACCTCGAAGGGCCGCGAGCGAAAACTTTCGGTCCTCTAGCGACAACTCTGCCGGAGGACCACCCTGCCTGCAGCCCGGCTCGCGCCTCTCGCGCCACCCTCCCCGCTCCAGGGCGCTTCCGACTCCGGCTCCAGCCGCCGGGC